ATATATATATATATATATATATATATATATATATATATATATAAACCCAACTCCATATACATTAATTTTGGAGATGATATATGGAAAAAACCAATCTTTATTATATATTAATGCTATTGCTATACTATACTATACTTTATTATTGTTATATATATATGTATGAAACAAAAAACAAGTGCTGTCTCACTCGCTTTCTCTCCCTCATCCTTTAGGTACACGAAAAGGAGACTTTTTATACCTTTGAAGATCAAGACTAAAAATGGCCGCCATCAGCTAGCATTAATTTTCTTACATTATTGAACACCCCTGTGGATTTTCTTCACTGAAGTAATCACACCTAGTCACATAACAGGGCCTGTTTCGAGCGTATTCGTAACCATAACCATCGTAGCATGGACCTGGTGGAGGTGGTACAGGTCTTCCGTAGTTATATCCAAAATCGTAACATGGCCCTCCACTACGACCTTGGTAGCATTCTTGGCAACACGCTTGAATAGGAACAGGGTATACCGGTGGGCAAAATCCGGGCATGGGGTCGGGTATTGGAACTGGTTTTGGAGGATCCACTTTGGGTGGGGGTGGTGGATCAGCAGGTTTTGGAGGATCAACTTTGGGTGGTGGAGGATCCACTTTGGGTGGGGGTGGTGGTGGATCTGCAGGTTTTGGAGGATCCACTTTGGGTTTGGGTGGGGGTGGTGGTGGATCTGCAGGTTTTGGAGGATCCACTTTGGGTGGTGCTGGTGGTGCTGGATCTGCAGGTTTTGGAGGATCCACTTTGGGTGGGGGTGGTGGTGGATCTGCAGGCTTTGGCTTTTGAACGGGGGATGGGTTGGGGTCTGGTTTGGGTTTATCTTGGGGTTTGGGCTTAGGGTTGGGTTTGTCCTCGACGATCTCAATACTCTGGATGGCCTTTCCACCTTTGCAACAAAGTGTGTCCCTTAACTTGTCAGGGTTGCAGCATACGACGGTGATCCTGACCTCATTTTTGTCTTGATCAAACACTTGATCTCTGATTTCTGCAAGAAAGGCAGGTGGCAGATGGAAAAAGGAATGGTCATGTATAATTGATTTAGAAAGAAACCCAAATGGGAATAAGAGAGAGAGAGAGAGAGAAGGGAACTGACGAGGGAACTTGCAGAGCAGTTTCTTGACCTTCTTGTAGCAGCAGGAGCATTTGAGATCAACATTCAAAATCATGACAGTAACCTGTTATACATAACAAAAAGAAAAAGAAAAAGAAAAGCAGTGAGTGTATATGTATAATAATTCAGACAACAACAACAAGAAGAAGAAGAAAGAGAGAAAGAACAATCGAAGAAACCTTGTCAGGAGCCATGATGAAGATCAAGAGAAGAAGAAGAAGAAGAGTTGTTGTTTTTTAGGAAATAAGAATGTAGTTAGGATTAGGAAAGAGGAGTATAATATTATATTGTTATTAATAATGAAAGAAAGAAGTCGATGTGAAATGATTGAAGAATTGTGAAGAAAGTAAAGGAAGGAAGTAAGGAAACGAAAATCCCAATAAAGACCCACATCAGACTGAAGTAGCTAACCACATGTTTATTACTAATTACTAATTATTAATTACTAATTACTAATGACTAATGTAATGATATATAGCTAACCACATGATATATATATATATATATATATATATATATATATACTAGAAGCGTACTCGCACAATGCAGCGAGATACATCATGATTTTAATATTTCATTTTATTCCTTATCTCAGTCGATGTTATAATA